TCTGCAGCCCCAGGCCCGGGCCTAGTTGGCCTAGGCCTAAGTCCGGCACTGCCAATCTACTGAGGTGTTTGTTGAGGAGACAGCGTCCTGTTAAAAACCCCGTGACAATCAGAAGATCAGTGCCGTCCAAAAATATAATGTAGGGTGTACTCAATAATTTCTTGGTTTTGATCTACGTTGCCAATAACTTGCCAATAAAAGTAGAAGTTGTTATAATAATTATTTAATCACAATTAATATCAGATACGTTACTGAAACACCTAAGTCAAGTCATAAATAAAAGCAAAACGCAAGAAAATATATACGGGTGAGTCTTAAATAAGTGCAAATATTTTCAGGGCTGGCAAATCTCGCTAAAGGAACATTTTCTCTATACCATTTTTCAAATAAATCCAATATAACGACTGGACTACTATATATTTTTATACAAGTTTTTTAACTAAAAAAAAAATTCAACTTTTTTTTTTAAAAATTCCAAATTTTCAAAGAAAAAATTTTCGCCAAAAAACCCTTATAATCGGGTTTCTGGGGTCGAAATATACTACCCCTAAAAATATTTGCACTTATTTAAGACTTACCCTGTATAATTAGTTAATTCTAAGTTAATTCTAACTGAAAAAAACTGTCTTGTATTGGTTCCCCTGTTGATTTTACAGCGAAGTAATAATTCCGCTTTTAAAGGTCTGTGAATAAACGTGCCAAATTTGAACAATATTGGAACAAAATATTTTGCAAAAAAATATTTTTTCCAAATATTCTGATGAGCCTAACTACTATGCCTAATGAGGGCACTTCAGATTGAAATTTAAAAAAAAATATTTTTTTTAAACGAGAATGTCAAAAGTTGTGATACCTACGATATTTTATTCTATTCAGACGTTTACTATTGAAAAAAATGTAAAAAATGCCGAGGGTACCATAAAAACGAGCCTTGTAAAAAATAGATTTGATAGTCTAATGTTTTACATGTCTTTTGTCATGGCCGGTTAAATGCCCAAATCGTATTTTTAATGATATCTCAATTTTTCCAAATGGATCAAGGGTGGCTCATTGGCATATTTGAAAAAAGCAATTTTTTTCTAATAATTTGGTACTACACACTTGGTATTTCGAGTCAAATTGGGGTTATGAACCGCATGTTACAATTTCAAATAAGCGAAATTTCAATATGCGAAAATGTCAAAAGTTGACATGTGATATGTCATTCTATTCATAGTGTCATTTTCTGTCGAATAACCCAACCCAACCCAAAATCAAAAGTTGTAGCCATTTCTGGTGAAACAGGTATTTGCCGAAACTAATTTAATGAGTAAAGCTTGATTTTCATGCATCCGTTAAGCCGGGTCCACATATGTAGCATCTTCGTGTATCATATCTCCGTCGCGTTGCACCAACATGTTTCATAATCGCTAGTTTGGACGCCGAATTAACGCGATCATATGGTACACCTTTGTGATACCGTATCTGATACATGCCAATCCGAATTTTGGCGCGTATCTTAACACTGCGTATCGGATACACGTATCACGATCTGTCATTTGGACGTGTTTTGATACAGTATAACGATACAATTGACTTGATACGCCGTGACCCGTCTTGAGGCGGTTTTTCTCCGATCATCAAAGGGGCATTGAGGGTTCACTGACAAGAATTGATGAACATGATACGACGATACAAGGTGATTTGTTGTACCGTCCATATACAATGATACGCACGCTTGTACGCTGGTACGTATGAATTTTATAAGTATGGACGCTTACTTTGGCACGATATGCATATTCAGTCGACACAGCCCAAATAAACGTCCATACTTACGATACAAGCTCTTGATACGTGATACATGATCCTGATGCAATAGAGTCCTACATATGTGGACCCGGCTTTATACGTTGATACGATGGTCCGACGGTGCTCTGATTGGTCATAGCGTTTTCGCGCCACTTTTCATCCGTAAATATTTTACTTCAGCCCGTCAACGGACCGTTCATACGATAACGGACGTTTTGACACTTTTTTGACAAATTTAATCTAACCTTAATAAAAATATAAGTAAAATAGCAAAATCGTTATGGAAACGAAAATAATGACACCAACGTATGTCCGATAAACGGAGGCATGAAAATGCAATAAATTTAAAAACTACGTTATTTTCTAACCAATAAAATAGTCTTTAAATTCTATCAATAAAATTAATATCGTATCAACGTATCGTCGGACAACGGATGCATGAAAATCAAGCTTTAATCAATCCCGATTTATGTCATATACCAACACACCAAATTTTTTTTTACCTGAAAAAATAAAAAAGTTATAGGGGGTGAGCCACTTTTGAAAAACACCCGGTATGCTTTCTCTGGAATCTGGAAATACATTTATGTATAAACCTTCTTTCAAAATAATCTGAGCAAAAAACTATAGGTACATATATTCATTTGTACCTCTAAATAGATAAGTACCAATATTTTAAGTTACATGAGTTGCATGTGATGTTTTGATATTTTAGATATGCATATTTAAATTTTCGATGCAAAATGATAATTAAGGAAATTAATGGGTGAAATTTTTTTGATAAAAGATAATATGCAGCCTTGATCATTGAAATTGTATAATTTAAATACTCAACAACAAACTTAACAACAGAATAGAAATTGTTCATCAGAACCGTTTTAGTATTAATTAGCGCTGCGTGACAACTATTGGCTGCATATAATTTATTTCGGTTATTGCATTGGTCATGCATAGTTATGTTAGTTAATATTACAAATCATATTTCTTTGAATTTTCTATGTTACTTTGAATGTGGTAGGCAATGATTCAGTTCAATCAGAATTTTCTATGAATGCAGCAGAGTATTTCTATGAAGGCTTTGATGATAGAATGCTGTTATGTGGAACTTCCATTGTATTTATTTTCCGATTAAGTATATCCAACGCATTAAGTATGACCAAACCAAACCAAAAACGGCGTCAAAGACGGCCGGAAAATGACAATCGAGGCTAATTTTAGCGAGGTCAATCTCTAGACTTTATTTACTAAAATTGGGGTATAAAACTTTTAAAAAATTAACACTAATTATGTAAAAAAACAATAGACCAGACAAACAGATCTATTTCCAAAAAAATATTATTTCTCGAATTTTAAACTACTCACATTTTAAAAATCATTTTTACTCGATATAAAAATAAATTACGACCTTCAAGACTAACCGGCAGCAAGTGCCATTAAAAAAAATGGGCGCCGGGAGGCACGCATAGCCGCCCATACTAAAATATGTTAATAAAAAGTTGGTAGTGCTGGCTGAATGCTGTAAGGGCAAGTGGCCATATCTGGATTGGATCGGGAATTGGATGTTTCCAGAGTCACTGATCCTTTCCACAGAAGAAGAAGAAGAAGAAGAAAAAGTTGGTAGGCAGTTCTTTTAGTTTCAAAGTAAAGGAATTTTTCCAATTTTTTTTTATTTCAAAAACTGCGACTTTGACTGATTTTGATGTTATTACAAATATTGTTGCAAATATTATTCCTAATCTTAAATTGAAAACCGCGTTTTGCTAGCTATTGTAATTTTGGACTTACGATTTTTTAAAATTTTTAACCCCCTCCCATACCCCCTTACCAACCCCCCACCCCCACCAAAAACTAATAGCCAGATTCTCGGGTGGCACAGTATTTTTGTGCCAAATTTGGTTAAAATCGGTTTAGCGGTTTTTGAGTTATCGTGTTACAGACGGACAGACAGACACCATGAAAACATTTTGTATTTAGGTCATTTATGACCCAAATAACTCATTTTGAGTGAAATTCAAAAAAAAACTTTTTTTTGCCGATCTTAATAGCCTACCATACCAATAGGAGTACCTAATAAAGAGGAGTTCGGGACAAGTAATGAAGACTGGGGCGTGACCTCGTCAAAAGTATCATCGAACGTTATTCCCCAGCCGTCTTTGACGCCGTTTTTTCGATCGTATTGTATATAGACTTTGATAAAACCGTGATAAAACTGCCAAAAAGTGTTTTAAAAACGTTGCTTTCTGTGCTTCTTTTTTTCTACTGTAAAAATAATATTTGATTCTTTTCTTACTATACCGGGTGCGTCTCAAAAGTGGCTCACCCCTATAACTTTTTTAATTTTTTTATATAAAAAAACGAGATTTGGTATGTCAGTATACTATATGACATAGAATATTGGATTGATTGACGTATTCAATTGTTTTTTGTCACTTACTGTTTCACCGGAAATGACTACATTTTTAAATGGCACCCTCGGTACATTTTTACTTTATTCGATAGAAAATGACACTCTGAATAGAACGACATATCGCATGTCAATTTTTGACAATTTCGCTTAAAAAATTCGTATTTGGAATTTCAATCTCGAGTGCCATGTATTAAAAACTCTAATTTTTAATCAACGAGCTTTGAAAAAAATATATTTGATCGTTTAATGTTTTTCGTGTCTTGTCATGGACGGTTAAAAGATGCCCAAATCGTATTTTTAATGATATCTCAATTTTTTCAAATGGAACAAGAGTGGCTCATTAGCATTATTTTACGAATAATTTGGTACTACACACTTGGTATTTCGAGTCAAATTGAACCGCATGTTACAGTTTCAAATAAGCCATATTATGCGAAAATGTCAAAAGTAGACATATATGATATGTCATTCTATTCAGAGTGTCATTTTCTATCGAATAAAGTAAAAAAATATGGAGGGTGTCATTTAAAAATAAAAAGTTGTGATAATTTCCGGTAAAACAAGAAGTGACCAAAATCAGTTGAATACGTCAATCAATCCTAATTTATGTCATATACTAACATCCCAAATATCGTTTTTTTCCGAAAAAATAAAAAAGTTATAGGGGTAAGCCACTTTTGAGACGCACCCTCTATTATTCCAATGATCTGTTTAAACAAAACCGTCTTACATAAAAATCATTAACGGTACCAATTTGGTCATTATGGCTTTAATTAAAAGAAGTTCTATAGTAATGGGTACTTACTTGTATCCGGCTAGCGTGTTAAGTAATGTACTCTTCCCCGCACCGGATGGACCGAGAATAGCCGTTAGCTGACCTGCGGCAAAGTGGCCGCTTATATTCTTTAAGATTAATTTACAGCCTGAAACAAAAGGAAAGAAAACGTGGATTGCCATAAATTTCAACATAAAAGAGTCATAAAAAGACTAACTTTGGACTAACTTTTTTTTAAAAAAGAAAGACTCTTAAGAGTAATAAGTTTTAAAACTTAAAGCAAAAAAAAAGTTTTAGCTTGTTAAGCCCCAAACTCACTATGGGCCGATGCGTCGATTTGATGCGTCCCTGTACGCATGGTATGATGTGGTTCACCAAAAAACATTCGTTAGTGTTGTAACCAAATTTAAATTTGAATTTTTGGCGCGATTTAAATAGTTTAGGTTAGTAGTATTGCACTGTTAGTTGCAAGCAGAGGTTACAAGCTTGTTGCAAGTTAGGGTGCATCCACACTATCCTAAAAACGGCGTAACGACCTTGAATCAATTTCCAGTAATTCTATTGGCTGAAAAATTCATCTGTCAGAAATTTTATCTGTCATATTCATCTGTCAAAAATTTCAGCCAATAAAATTACTGGAAATCCATTCAAGGTCATTACGCCGTTATGCCAATACGCCGTTTTTAAAATAGTATGGATGCACTCTTAGGTATTTTTATTATTATGTCATCGGAGAGATTGTTCTGTGGTCTGTGGTGTTAGATTTTGTTTTGTGAAGGTCGTGTGTCGAGTTATTTTTATTTTAAAATCATCGTAATTAATAAATGGAATTGGAGAAAAATAAACTAAAAGACATTTTATTTATTTAACCGCCGCGCCGGTCATCGCTACATTAGTTCGATTGGATATTCGTAGTCATGTAATGGTGATATTTATTTTGATGATTTGGTTAAAAACCGATGTTTTTCAGGTATCGCATCGGTGGAATCGCATTGGCGCACCAAATCAACGCATTTTCGAACCGCATCGACGAACCACATCAGCGCATACTGAGTATAGGGTTCATAACACAAACTGTGATATTATCAAATAAAATTTTAAAAGCCTAAAACTGAGGTATATGAGTTTTCAATTAGTTCTTGTTATGAATTATTGACCTCAGTTGGGGGTTGGAACCTTCGGTGTTACAACAGCAAAATAATACACTAAATCACCACAATACACGAAAAGTTTTGAGTTCTAATCATCTGCTGATGATGCTAACATGGTTAGCGATGGTAAAAGTGATTTGGTGTCTTGTGGTGATTTAGTGTTATTTTGGAATTATTGATACAGAAACAAAAAAAATCTTTATAATTGAATGAAATACTGTAATCATTATACAGGGTGTCCCAGAAATATGTGCAAGTATTTTAACTGGTAATATAGTTCGACCCCAGAAACACGCCTATGAGGTTCTTTTCGCGAAAAAAAAATTTAAAATTCGAAATTTTTTTAAAAAATTTTTGGATTTTTTTTTAGTTTTTAGTTAAAACACATAATTTCTTGATAATTTAGATTAAATTTACAAGAAAGAATATCCAGAAAAGATCCAGTGCGGTTCTCAAAATTTTAGCAAAAAATCATTTTTTTTTAATTTTCAAAGTAAAATAACTCCGTCGTTATTTTGGACTTATTTGAAAAACGATAAAGAGAAAATATATTTCTTTTATCGAGATCTACCACCCCTTAAAATACTTGCACTTATTTCTGGGACACCCTGTATAATCATCATATACGATCTTCGGCAACAACGTTCGTTAACTTTTTGTAAGTGGCAACCTAGCATTTATCTTTTTTACATCTAGTTCTGTATTTTGGGTACCTTGAACTTGTTTTGTATAGTAGGTATGTTTATTCCATACGATCGTAAAAAATCGCGTCAGAGTTGAAATGGAATTGAATATCGCTGTCATGTAAGTCATGTTATTATGTCAAACTATATGGTGAATATTAACGGTAGTCATTTTCAAGTTAACTTGACGCCGTTTTCTTTTTCTATGACACGATATTATTTTGTCTGTGGGTAAAACTTCACTTTGTCTTCCACTACCAATATATTTTAAAAACACTAATTTTTCGAAAAAAAAATTATATCTTATATCGCTAGAAAGCTTTAAAAATTACGCTTTTTATGAAGTCATGGTCAGTTATGGTTTCCATTTAAAAAAAAATATATGTTTGTGTCATATGTCAAAAATGATGAAGGAAATGAAAAATGAAAGGCGACTATTTATGACCTCACAAAACTGCAATTGGAGGGGTGGCTGCAATAACCAGGTAGTTCCATTTTAATAAATTTGTGGTAAATCGAAAAAGAGCTGCTCGGTTCTTGCTGCAAACTCAGAGCAAGGCAGCTCCAACTAACGTCGCCATTTATGTACTGTTATATTGAGAGAACTGATTATATTGCAGGAAACGATCGGCTAAATTTTTTAAAGGGTAATTCATTAAAAATCTCATTTTCAAAAAAAGTGGGGCTGCCTGGTTATTGCAGCCACCCCTTCAATTCTTCCCCATTTAATCGACTCTCTATCTTCAGTAGGTACTTTCCGAGTTAAGGTTGATTCTCACTATACCTTCCGTATCAGCTACCTTACAGTTTCCCTTCCGTTTACATAAAATATTATATCATGTAAATGAATAGGACAATGCACACTATCCTTTCCGTTTCCCTTCCGTTCCATATCCTTTCCTCTTCCATACAGTTTTCTTACATTTGTACCAGCTTTGTTAACAAATTGCTGATATTTATTTGTTCTCTCATCTCTTAATTAAATCTATTTTTTTTCTTCTTTAAATCTAATTAAACCTTTTTCAAAAGATACAATTTTTAAAAATAAAACTTTCGTAATATAAATCCGATATAAATTGTACAGGGTGTCCCACTAAGAATAGCTCTCGGCTGTATCTCGGAAAGTATTAGCCGTAGTGCCTGCGGAAAAAAATATTTATAACCAAAGAGGATATGAGAAATAGCTGGAAATTATTTTTAAGTTTGTAGAACGACCGCTAGGGGGCGCAACTGCAACAAAAAATAAGAAAATGGAGTTTTTACATAATTTTGCCTAGATAAGGTATACTATAAGTAATAGATTCATAATCTTCAGTAAATTTTGAATATTTTTGTTAGAGCCATTTTCCTCTATCTACCAAAATAAAGTGGTGGGGGAAGGTTAGATCTGTTTTTATTTAAATATTAATAACTCCGGACTGAATGATCGGAATTCAACAAGCGAGGGCTCTTTAAAAGAGCGTTTCTAACTCTATATTCTACCATATAAACAATAATAATAAGCGCTTGAACGTAGACGCTAGGGGGCGTTGTCTTACAATTTAACAAAAATTGCGTGTTTTTTCAAAAAAATTAAAGGCGATAGTATACGTAATTTTAGCTGAGAGTAAAGAACAATAAAAGCTTAATAAGTGAGCGAAAATCGCATCTTGATATCTTTTTTCAACCCAAAGTTATTAGCAAAATTATAATAAATACGAAAATATAAGCCCTTAATTACCTTATTTTGCTAACACGGTATTACTAGCCCTCTTGATTATGAACACTCTGACAAAAAATAAGATAGAAATGATTAGATTCTTCTAAATTCGACAATATACCAGAATACCATAACACGAGATTTATTAATATCTAATAATTAAGATATCAATGACAGTTAGTAAGAAACGACGCCTCAGTGAAGTCATGGTAAGCTTTGGAAAAAAGTTGCTGTTGACGTAATAGTCTAAACGTCAAAGTTTTATTAGATCAACATTTTGATAGTCTTAGCAGCGTTTTTTCTCTGTTGAAGAAATGCATTTTTTTGAAAAGCAATCAAAAGATAAAAAAAGGCTGCTGAGACTATCAAAATGTTGATATAATAATATTTTGATGTTGAAACTATCCGTTTAAAAGCAACTTTTTTCCAAAGCCTTCCATGAATTCACTGAGGTGTCGTTTCTTGTCCACCGTCATTGGTATCTTAATTATTAGATATTAATACACCTAGTATTATGGTTTTCTGGTTCATTGTCGATATTTTGAATAAAATAATTTTTTTTATATTATTTTTTATTAGAGTGGTCATAATCAAGAGCGCTAATGATATCGTGTTAGAAAAATAGGGTAACTAAAGACTTATATTTTCGTATTTATTATAATTTTGCTAATAACTTTGGTTTGAAAAAAGATATCAAGATGCGGTTTTCGCTGACTTGTTAAGCTTTTATTACTCTTTACCATCAGCTAAAATTACATATACTATCGTATTTAATTTTTTTGAAAAAACGCGCAATGTTTGTTAAATTGTAAGACAACGCCCCTAGCGTCTACGTTCAAACGCTTATTATTATTGTTTATATGGTACAATATAGAGTAGAAACAGCTTTTAAACGAGTCCTCGCTTGTTGAATTCCGATCATCCAGTCGGAGTTATTAATATTTAAATAAAAACAGATCTAACCTTCCCCACCACTTTATTTTAGCAGAAAATGGTTCTAACAAAAAAGATCCAAAATTTACTGAAGATTATGAAGCTATTATTTATAGTACATCGTATCTAGGCAAAATTTCTTAAGAATTCCATTTTGTTATTTTCCATAGCAGTTACACCCTCTAGCGGCCGTCCTACAAACTTGAAAATAATTTCCAGCAATTTCTCATGGTCTTATTAGTTATAAATATTTTTTTCCGCAAGCTCTACGACTAATACTTTCCGAGATACAGCCGAGAGCTATTCTTAGTGGGACACCCGGTACAATAAAAAGTATGGAACTGATACGGAACGGAAGCTTACGTATAGCGTCAATACAATAAAAAATACGGAACGGATATGGAATGGAAGCGGAAGGTATAGTAAGAATCAACCTTAAACCATAGAGAACATCGTAGAAAACTCACCCTGTATATTATATGTTATAAAATCTATCTAATATTTCAAGTATAAGCTAACCATCAATAAACCCTGCATTGCATTTATTAATTCAATTAATACAGAGCTTTAATGTTCTTTTTATTTTTGTTCTGTTCATCCTAACGTCGAATGATTTAATAATATCCTGGGAAGAGAGTGCTGACCAAAGGTTAAGGAGGTTATTTGTTCTGCGGACAACAGG